CGTTCCCCTTGATCCTGCCCTACCAGGTCTCCCACACCCACCTCCCCACCAATTTGGATTGCTTGTTGTTCCCTTATTCCTGGGTGTGTACTTTATATAAAAGCCAACCATGTGGATTGGTTTATATATAAAGTATACCATATATAGGGCATATATGTATATACACACACTAGTTTTTCAGTTCATTCATGCATGAATTTATTCCAAATAAAATATGTTTAATTGAAGCACATCTCTAGGATCAGTGTATGGCTGTAGTAATACACTTATCTTAGTCTCCTGGTATATTCCAAAAAAGGTCAATTCAAAACAGAGGCTTCCAAGAGATATCTGCTAAACCAACTAATTTTGAAGCAGAGAGGTCAGCTCAGAAGGTTATGGCCATTATTTTTGAGGATTCTAAAGGGATAAAGGACACAGGGCAGCACTGCACGTATTATGAAGAAATTATAGGAAAACTGGAAGCTATACCAGTGAGTAAAGGCCAGGAAAGTTACGCCAAGGAGTTCTTTCTCACTGCAGCACTGCATCTGCTCATTCTTTGAGGGCTGCAAGGACTGGGTTAAGTTAACTTCACGGGGAAAGCTGACCCCATCCATTCTACAGCCCTAATCTTGCCCCTCCAGACTACCTTTTGTTCCCAAACCTCAACGTCCATTTAAAAGGAGTACAAACAGTGTAAGGCCCTCAAGGATACCAAGACTTCCATTCTGACATGGTATCAGTCAGTGCAGAATTCCTAAGGGGAGGGTTGTTCATTCATTTGTTCACGGTCACCGACTTGATATTGGCTCCTAGTGACCCTCTAGGACAGGGTAGAAATGCCCCGGTGGGTTTTCAAGGCTAGAAATCTTTCTAGGAGTAAAAGCCCCATCTTTCTCCCACAGAGCGGCTGCTAGCTTCAGGCTGCTGACTTTGCAGTTAGCAGCCCCAAAAGCATAACTTCTGCTACGTCTCCCGGGCTCCCAAGGGAAGGACTAGAGAGATGGAAATACCACCCTCAGAGGTGTGTAGACCTCAATGAAGGACATATCGATAAGCAATAGCTTCACATTTTGATGTTCTTGTTTAATAAATGTTTCTATGATTTTATAACAGTACTTTTGACTTAACCCTTTCTATATATTTAACATACACACGGATTTGAGCTAATTCTAGTAAATATTATTCTTAGTTCATTTGGGAATGGATTTAATGGATGTAAGCAAAGCCTTAAAACAATGAGACTCTAGATAAGCTCGAAAAGAATTTCTTCTATAGTGGACGTAAATTATAAGAGCAAAGTCCTGGAGAATAAAACTCTGAAGCAGTTAAGCGATGGAAGGTGTATGCTGGTGAGCATTCCATGGATAAGGGCTTCAAAGACCAGGGTAAAGAGATTGGGCCTTATACTATGGAGAACAGAAAGCGGTTCAACGTTTTGGAGTATTACCCTGTTAGCAAGAAAGTGTGCTTTCATATTTATTGATCATTGGTAAGATATTAAAATTAGTATTTTCCCCTGAGAAAAGATTTTTTTTTAATGTAGCCCAGTATAAGAAAACCTTACCTAAATATTTTCTTTCTCATTTTCTCGCTCCTCCCCATCTGCTGTAGGTTTGGTAACAAGGAGGAATACATGGCATTTATGAATGATTTTTTAGAACATGAATGGAGTGGAATGAAGCGCTTTCTCTTGGAGATCTCTAACCCAGACACCATCTCAAACACCCCTGGCTTTGATGGTTACATTGATTTGGGCCGAGAGCTTTCCGTTTTGCATTCCTTACTCTGGGAAGTCGTTTCTCAACTTGATAAGGTAAAGTAGACAGGAAGAAGATAATGGAAAATGGGAGACCTTTAATGTGCTTGATTTCTGGAAGTTACCTAGTGCATATCTATAAATTTTATATCTGAAAACTTGTACTAAAGCACATACTCAAAAATTGGTATTCGGCCATATATGAGAAAAGGGGATATATAGTGTTCCCTAACAATCCTGATTTAAAAATATTGATAATACCACATTTGAGGTGTTTTATCCATGAGATTTTCTACTATGCAAGTCAGAGGGTTGATATAATTATGAATGCTGCTGTCATCGGGGATTTGATTATTCTGGTGTTTTCTTCCTCGATAGATGTGCACTAAGAATACAGAAAGCAATTATAATTTTGAGTCATTCCTTTCTGACTACAAGCTAAGAATTTTATTGTATTAATTACTAAGTTTATACCAGGCCTATTATTTTCTTCTTGGAATTTTCAAAAAGTAATACGTTTTATAGATGAAAATAGTGTCATGAAATTTGACTAGGTTTATCTCAATAACTATTGATGTTTTTGTTTGCTTCAGGTATTTGTAAACATGTATGGTGGTATGTTAGAATAACTTCAAAAGGCAAAGTTATGTTTCTATGATAAAGATTTGTGTATTTGTTTTTCTTCATTTTCCTATCACCCTTAAAAATGTTGTATCAATTAAATGGAGTGGGGAGGAGTAAAACCTATTAACAAAGACCACTGTCCTGAGGAGACTTAGTAGGGTGTCCACAGATGCTTAAAATATTTGTAAACCAATAAATTGTTCCTTATTCTCTAATGCTCCTCCTTCATGCTTAGAAATGCTGGCTAGATTTTTAATTTGCCAGCTACGCTGAGGGTAAATTCCTCAAGTATGAGTTGTGCCTTAAAGTAGTTGAGCAAGTAAACACATTTTTCAGATGGCATATCTGCCCTTTTGAGCAGAGCAGCAAATCTATTGATTATTGAGAAGTCAAAGTAGACCCAAAGGCAACCATATAAAACTGCATAAAAATGAAGGGGTTCTATAACTTCCTTGAGAATAAGGATTCTCTAAAGAAAAAAAAAATAGTTGTGATGGTAAAAGTGTACTAAATAATTATCGTTTGTTGGCTAACTATCAGTGAAATGCAGGCATTGTTATCACGTGAAATAAGCATGGCTTATTCAGGGTCAAGGTCTTTTTAACAGGTTTTGCTGTGTAAACACACTTTTTCTTTTTTAATTTCTGTTTGGTCCTGGGAACCAATACATGTAGACATATCTCCTAGAGAGAGTTTATTTGATTTTGCTCTGTGTGTGTGTGTGTGTGTGTGTGTGTGTGTGTGTGTGTGTTGGGGGGGTGGGGGTGGGAGGTGCAGAAGAAAGCCTTAGTGAGCCATGAGCAAGGGTTCCCAAGATGAAATGGGATCACGAATGGCATTGTCAACTGTGTGCCCTTCAGTGCCCTGGATCCTGAATGCCGTACCTTCTTGTATGTTGGCATGCACTTCTTTTCTCACATGAGCCCTTCTCCTTGGAAGTTTCATCACACTAGCTAATTCTCTGGTCTTTAAGTTCCTTTTGGTTAGAAGGTGTTTGGTTCTCCCCCTACCCTTCCCCAGCTCGATCTACTTACTCCTGAAGGTGTAGTTTGCTTTGCATGCCTGTTTTAAGTTGGAATGGCAATAGTTTGGTTGTATTGAGCATGTCCTTTCATTTTTATTTGCATAATCCTAATTTCTATTTCCTTTCTTTTCTGGATGTCTGCTGCACCTTGTTTCGCCTCCTCCATTCATCTCGACGCCATGGTTCCGCTGCTCCATAACAATGCATTATGAACCCGCCACTCCCACATGCAAACACCTACCCTCCCCTCCGACTTCCATCCCTCCATCACTGGCACCGTGTCCCAAAAAACAATCTGTGGTGGATGTCGCAATGCTTATTATCCAATTAGGGTGAAAATTCCTTCCTACAGGCAACCGTGGCAAAATTGGGACCCCTCCCTCGTGTTCTTGCCGACATTACTAAGTCCCTGACTAATCCTACACCAATACAGCAACAACTAAGACGGTTCACTGAGCATAACTCCAGTCCAAATGTCAGTGGGAGCCTCTCCTCCGGGCTGCAGAAAATATTTGAAGATCCAACTGACAGGTATGAGAGAGAGAATGGGAGCTATACTATCTCAGAGAGTGAATGGCACAAGTCTTTTTAATGCATTCGTTCCGTTTACAGCTTCAAAGCCTTATGAGCAACTGGCAAGAAGAATCTGACTGACCAAAAATAAATCCATTTGTTGTCATGATTAAATTCCAGCACTAGGATGACTTATATTTTCATAACAATAATGTAGAGGAATCATATATTCAAGAAACATTTTTTACATGTGCCCCACTTAACAAAAGGCCACGAGCTTTATGGAATTGATGTTTTTCATGCACTGTAGTGTTTACAACTCCGGACAACCCCTATTTGAACTGTTTCATAGGTAACTGTGTCAGCTGTTCAAAAGAAACAAAGTTGATATCTAGACATTAGATTTTGGATTTGTAAGCCATGCCTTTAGCGGGGACCCTTTGATTGTACACTCACAGCTTCTGAAGGCTTAGAACCGATTTAAGTTGATGAAGTGGGATCATTGGAAGGGTTTACAATCTTAACTAAGATGGGACTGGAAATCTAGTAAAACCCCAAAATAATACCAAAGTGGTATCAGGTAGTCTTGTTCTACTCCTTTGGAGAAAGGTGAAAATGGGTTTTACTCAGAAATTTGACAACAGGATCTGAGTTTAGAAAGAAATGTAAGTAGAAATGTAATCTATGTGGGGCCTGCAAACCTTCAGAGAAATTCATAGGCCTTAGCTGAGGGAATTTAGCAGTACTGAATCCGCCTCAAGGGTAACTAAAGGTCCTTTTCTTTTGCACAGTGATTTGCATAAACTCAAATCTCCAAGCCAAGACAACACAGACAGCTATTTCAGAGGGAAAACATTATTGCTGGTCCAGCAGGCCTCCTCCCAGAGCATGACTTACTCTGACAAGGACGAACAGGAAAACAGCCTTCCTAATGGCCGGAGCATTTCTCTCATGGACCTGCAGGACACTCATGCTGCTCCGGGGGAGCATGTGCCTGTCATGCTCGATGTGCCTATGCGTTTGACCGGAAGCCAGCTCTCCATAACCCAGGTGGCCAGCATCAAACAACTTCGGGAAACCCAGAGCACGCCTCAGAGTGCACCCCAAGTCAGGAGACCCCTGCACCCAGCCTTGAACCAACCAGGCAGCCTCCAGCCCCTGTCCTTCCAGAACCCAGTCTACCACCTCAATAACCCAATTCCAACAATGCCAAAGGCCTCTGTAGATTCCAGTTTGGAGAACCTAAGCACTGCCAGTTCCAGAAGCCAAAGTAACAGTGAAGACTTCAAACTCAGTGGACCTAGCAATAGCAGCATGGAAGATTTCACAAAACGCAGCACACAGAGTGACGACTTCTCCAGGCGGCACACTGTGCCAGACAGGCATATACCTCTCGCTCTTCCTCGGCAAAATAGTACCGGGCAGGCCCAAATCCGAAAAATGGACCAGGCTGGGCTAGGTGCCCGAGCCAAAGCCCCACCATCCCTGCCTCACAGCGCTTCCCTCCGTAGTACTGGGAGTATGTCCGTGGCATCCGCCGCCCTGGTAGCTGAACCTGTGCAGAATGGGAGCCGGTCCCGGCAGCAGTCCTCTTCCTCCAGAGAAAGCCCTGTTCCCAAAGTGAGAGCCATCCAGAGACAACAAACACAACAGGTAGGGGTTAGTGCTGGAGGGGCCTGGCTTACAGGGAGCCCAGCTGTTTGCTCCCTTTTTTATGTATAACTCACTGAGAAATCCAGTTATCACAAGGTTTGCACTTCAGTCTTCTGCTACCTCTAAATGGAAAGAGAAAATGAATTTGGGAGGCTTCTGGAGAGGCAACAAAACCAAGTGTGACCCCAACCCATAGGACCCCTTCTTTCTCTCTTTTCATCTCTGTTTGTGTCTTAGAGCAGACCACTGTTGAATGGCTAATTAGACACTGGAACTATCTAATCTCTATGCCATATTAGCTATATTTGGGGACTCTGGAAACAAATTCTTCCTAATAATTGGTTCTAAGTTACCAAAATAAAGGCTTACATTCTGAGCAAAGAGTTTAATATAAACTGTGCCCTACTCCATCTCCCAGCTACCTCTGAAAATATCAAGTCCCTTGGGCCTTTTCCTGGAAATGGCTGGAAAAATAAACAACTGAACACCTGTAGAGGTAAGGTAAAGGAGAGTGGTAAAAAGAATGAAACAGGTAGTTAACGAGTTTTCTAAGCATTTTGCAATGCCCTTACATTTCTTTTTCTAGTTACATGGGTGAGCCCACCAAGTACTTACATCTAGTCTTTACAAAAGGCTTTTTTAAGTTGTTTTAATAATTTTTGTGAATTAGGTGGAAGTTTACAATTTCGATCATCCAACTTAAACTAATTAACCAAACCCCTAATATCTTTTCTGCCCCTCCCTGATAGCTTAGTTTTCCTTCTCCCTCTTCTGGATTACAATCTTCCCCTCGCCCAAGTTAGTACTTGTCTATCCTCTCGACTGTTTTTTCTTGACAAATAGCTCTGCCAAGGATTAGTAATTTTTTTCCTTAAGTATTACATTTTTGAAAGACTAATACACATTGTACTCTTCAAAACAAATAACCAGTCTTTTCATTTTTCCACAAACATTTTGAAGCCCCCTCATATATCCCATTCATTTGAAAAGATATTGCTTCAAAACTCTGTATTTGTTGAATGTTTTTTGAAACCTAGTCATACTTTATAAAAGCACTGGAGAGCTTTCTGGTTAAAAGAATTGAATGACAAACTGTTTCATGCAGGAGAATAATTGGGTAGGGAGCCCCCAAAAAATGCATCTTTTTTTCATGTATTTGCAGTTTTACAGGTTGGCATTAAGGAGTTGGCTTTTCCGGACTCGACTCTGCTGTTACCATAGTCTCTTGCCCCTACTTTGGTAGTTACTGTTTGCACACATTCACATACACACCTAGATACAGAGGGTGGGGGAGGATGAGAAGCCTAGCTAAAACTGGCTTCTATGCAAAAGCTCCTCTTTCGCTGTTTCCTGAATTTTTTCCAGTCCTCAAATTTCCCCTTCTGGGTTGTTATATTTTCCAAAATGTCACCAATTCATCTTGTTTAATAAGTATTTTCCTTCAATGGAAAGGAAATATATAGATTTGAGTCTGTGAAGAGGCTATATCATTCATTCACACCTTATTGTCAATTGTTAAAAAGAGAAAAACAAAGATAAATAATTTTAGAGATGGGATTTTGTGGGGAAGCAAACATCTTCTGAGGGCTTAGGGCTACATGAGTTCACTAAGGATAAGGTAGGAAATAGGGCAAAGCATTAGACAGGTGAGGGGGCTAGGAGAGAACCGAAAGGGCCCCTAACCAACTTTTCAAATGCTGCCTTAGGGCCGCCCGTCAACATAAAAGGTGGCGATTCAAATACTTGTTGCTCTACTTCTGTCTACCCCTTCCTCCTCTATCTTGCAGTCTTCCAGTCCTATAACTTGCATGACTCTAACTGAGGGTACCATTATTCATACTTATTCTAAATTAAGTAACATTTTGTGTACTTGTCTGGAACCAACTGCCATTTGTAACAGTTTTCCTTTAGGAAGATATAACACCTGTCAAAAAATGTACACAATGGCTGTTTTTTATGGGCGACTAGAAAACCAGATGAATGGATAAGAGAGACAAAATGCAGACAGTCTCCAAACAACTGATTTAAATAGTAATTTTTTAAGAACTTTACTGTGGTAAAAATATGTATCCCCCAAAATGCTATTTTAACAGTTTTTGAATGTACCATTCAGTGCTGACAGGGGCAACTAGTACCTTATCTTAAAGGTCACTATGAGTCAGTATCCGCTCAGTGGCAGTGAGTTTGGTTTGGTTTTATTCTGTGGTATTAATTACATACACCATGTTTCACCACTAGTTCGAAGTTTTTCATCACTCCCCATGAAATTTGTATTTTTTTATACTAACCCTGTAATAAGTTACTCCAAACTCAAACTCACTGCCATGGAGTCAGTTCCCCTTCATAGCAACCCTATAAGGCAGAGTAGAACTGCCCCTGTTTGTTTCTAACTGTACATCTGTGCAGGAGCAGACAGCCTCGTCTTTCTCTCGAGCGAGCAGCTGGTGGTTTGAGGTGCTGCCCTTGGCGGTTGATTAGCAGCCCAACACATAATCCACTGTGCCCCCAGGTCTTCGTTTTTAAGGAGTTAAAGAATGACTTATTAAACAAGAGGTCTTCAAAATGTTTGTAGGAAAACGTAATAGGAAAGTAATGGGATTTTCCCCGAACTTTTGGAAGCTCCTTTGTATTGGCATAAAATAGAGCATGCAGCCAGAGGGAGAGCTCCTTGGCCTGCTTTACAGACTCACCATGCATGCTCTGTGTGCCCCACCACGGGAGGGAAGAGTCAAGACTGGGTTTTGTTTGATCAGTTCGCTAGTTTTTCCTTGCGGCCCTTTTCTACCCAGATGGCTCATTTCTCTAGCTTCTATTCTTTCTTCTCTTTCTTTGTGTTTCTTGTTAACTTTTCTCAACTCATCCCTGCTAAGGCTGTGGAATTCTATTTAATCAGCATATTGGGGAGGCGGGGTGGCAAATAGATAAATGCCTTTACATATTTTAATTGCAAATTGTGTTGGAGAATTCTTCTCTTTGTGGGAATTGTTCTGTAGGCGACTGTTAGTTGTCTGTAGCTGTGTCCTAGGCAAATTCCACTACGCACAAAGCAGTGGCCATTGTTGGCAGAGTAACTGACTTCAGTCTTCTCCATCTAGTGAGTAGGAAGGAAATAAAAGTCCTAGTGAAATAATATACAATTTTTTTTATCTCCAGGAAATTCTTATACTTTCTTTTAACCTTTTCTAGTCTCTATCGTGTGTATGTGTGCGTGCGCATGTTTACACCAATGTTCTTTTTATAGATGGTAGAATTTATTTATTTACTATATGTGCCCTTCAGATTGTAGGAGGCCCTGGTGGTGTAGTGGTTACATGTGGAGCTGCTAACCACAAGGTCAGCAGTTTGAAACCACCAGCCATTCCACAGGAGAAAGAGGAGGCTTTCTACTTCTGTAAAGAGAATCTCGAAAACCCACAGGGCCAGTTCTACTCTGTCCTATAGGGTTGCTATGAGGAGGCATTAAATCAGTGGCAGTGAGTTTGGCTTTTGGTCATTCCAGATTTAGCATGTTCTCTAACCTAGGAAATCCAAGTTTGAAGAGGGCTCTTAGGTAGGTGTTTGACAAGCCTGTGGGTGGGGCTCTAGATCTAGTTTTCACCTTTGGATGTGTTGAGCCCTCTCCTAGACTACATCTCCAAGAACTCTCAAGAGTTTGCTTATTAACTTAGCCTTTTCTATGGTGTTGATAGCAAAAGTGTTACTCATATATGACTGTTCAGACTATGAAGAAACTGAAACCAGTAAGTCTTGTTTATATCTAGTAAATACTAGCAAGGAACAGGGACTTGTTTTGTTCTCAGTTGTCCTCAGCATAGTGCCGCTATGACTAATTGTAGTACCAGTGAAACTGCTGGGTCAGGGCCCATTTACCCTAAGCATTCTCTTCTCTTTTCCAGGGAAACCCTACACAGCTTCATTTCAGACTTAGAGGAGTTTCTTATTCCTTTTCTTTTTGTCTTCTCATCCTTCATTTTCTTTGATGATCCTGCTGACTGAAAGTCAATAGATACTAACTCTCTTCCTAAGGTCATAGCTAATCAAGATGAGATCTGAACCACATATCAACCTTTTCCCTCCATTTCTTTGACCCTAAGTTAGTAGTAAATGTTGATAATTATTGACCATTAACTACAGATAAATTGTACTAATTAATAAAGTGGAACAATCCTTCGGCAAATGCCTTTGAAGCACTTTCAAAAGATCAGAAGAAAAATATGATGTACTTGTTTCTTATAATAAATTCTAAATTAGTAATAAGTTGTAACAAATGCTAGAGTATTAATATGTGAGAGTTTATAGTGCATCTGGTGTGAATGTAACAAATCTCTATTTAAGGCAACTGTGTGACATGCCATCCCTCAAGGATTGACAGTCTAGTTGGGAACTAAGACCAGCAAACATTTAGGAAACCTAAAAGAGATAGTATATTTTTTTTTATAAGAAGAGTATATTACTCCCAGAATTGACTGTGAAACAAAACTCAACTCTATTTTCTCTCCTTCCAGCACCATTACTATCTTCTATTTGTTTAATAATACTTTTCAATCTCTTTATAATTAAGTAAAGGCTTTATCATGTATGTAAGAAGTAGAGAAGACTGATCTGCTTTATTTTGTCTACACTAATTGATGACCTCCAATATACCAGGTAGAATTCCAGGCCTGAGATATTAGAAAGTGTTAATAAAAATAAAACTGAACCAATAAAATAGGAACAGACCTGAAAATCCCAGTTCCTAACATACAATCTCATAATTATTAGGTGTTAGTCCTTTTGAAGAGACAGTGGCTACCCCCTCACCAGTGGAATGAACTGATCCTTGTTTTTATAGCTTCTTACTTAACTAACATTTAAAGCTCAGATTTACCTAACATGGTGGCCGTGGTATTTCTAGCATGCCTTTTTAGAGACTGAACTCTCATGTGTTCCTAGGAAAACCATTGGTTTGCAGAACATTTACAGACACTTGATAGTCACCCATAATACAGAGAACGAAAGTTCATTCAAGCAGTGTCTGATTATCCATATAAAACAACACTAGTGAGTCGGTTTCTTTGAAGTAATCTAGTCCTCAACCAGTAAAGTTGTTATTAACTTTTTGAAGTTGTCATTAATTTAAGTAGCAATTTTATCTAAACTGTTAAATAGGAAATTTAGTTTCACAGTGAAGTGCTTTTCCCGTGCTCTGTGTGCCAAAATTATGATAAGCTTATAAAAACTAAGAAGCGTTTATCTCCTTTAAGTTTAACTTTATTATTTTTTAACTCAGATTTTTTTAATAATCAAATCCACATTCTTTTGCTTTCCAAGTATTTTTAACAGACAGACAGACAGGAGAGAGAGAGAGAGAGAGAGAATGTGTGTGTGTGTGAGAGAGATTCCACTAGCATACTTACATAGTTTGCACAGTGCTTTTAAAACTAAATGCTTTTATGTACCCTCATTTGTTTACCACAAATTTTGTTACTTTAACATTTTTATTACTCTGTAATTCACATACCAAATAATTTGGTGATTTATTATATTAAAAAGTTATGTGATCATCACCACAATTTTAGAACATTTCTTCATTCTTGTATTCATTATTATTAACTTCCCATTTCCCCCCAACCTTCTCTGCCATTACCCTAAGAAACTATTAATCTAGTTACTGTCCATAAATACCTGTCTTGGATTTCATATAAAGAAAATCATACACATACACACCCAAAAAAAACAACAAACAAAAAAGCCCTCAATCCAAAAGAAAACAGGAAAAATAAATACTAGAACCTAACATTTTATTTTATTTTATTTTTTTAAAAGTCATTTTATTGGGGGCTCATACAACTTCATCACAATACATACATACATTAATTGTATAAAGTACATTTGTTACCCTCATTATTCTTTTTTTTTACATTATTTTATTGAGGGCTCGTACAATTCTTATCATAGTCCATATATACATCCATTGAGTCAAGCACATATGTACACCCGTTGCCCTCATCAATCTCAAAACATTTGCCCTCTACTTTAGCCCTCAATACCGTTTGCTCGTTTTCCCCCTCCCTCCCCCCTTCCCCTCTCTCCTGAACCCTTCATAATTCATAAATTATTATAGTTTTGTCATAAGTTACACTGTCCGACATCTCCCTCCACCCTCTTCTCTGCTGCCCATTCCCCAGGGAGGAGGCTATACTTAGATTCTTGTAATTGGTTCGCCCCTTCTACTCCACATTGCCTTCACCCTCCAGGCCTCGCCCTCTCACCACTGGTCCAGAAGGAGTCATCTATCCTGGATTCCCTGTGTTTCAAGTTGCTATCTGTACCAGTGTATATCCTCTGAGCTAGCCAGATTTGTAAGGTAGAATTGGGGTCATGATATTGGAGGGGAGGAAGCATTAAAGAACTAGAGGAAAGTTATATGTTTCATCGTTGCTACTCTGCACCCTGATTAGCTCGTCTCCTCAGCAGGGGGGTGTTCAGTGGCCAACCGATGGACTCCACTCTGCTCTCATCCACCTTTACAATGACATGATTTCTTGTTCCTTGATGCGTGATACCCACTCCCTTTCACAGTAGAACACATTTTAAATGGGCCAAAATGGAAAAAAACGATAAAATGTTAAATTTTAGTCTAACTGTATCTGCAGTAATTACTTTCCAGTGCACTCTGAGAAAAGGGTTAGTCAAATCCCTGGTCAGTGGTCAAAAGTCATTCTTGGGAGGTTTAATCCCCATGGAGATGTGTCAGATAGACTTTGGGCTTTCCCCTTAGCCTTCTGCAAACCTCTGGTCTTGGATTTTATTGTTTTCGATTCTTGGATCACACAAGCTGGTATGCTTCTTCCATGTGGATTCAGTTGATGCCCCACTTAGATGGCTGCTTGTTTGAAGACAAGCCTTCAAGACCTCAGATGCTATTCTTTCTAATAACTGAGCACCATCTGATTTCTTCACCACACTTTGCTATAGCACTCATATCTTCAATGATCTCTTAATAAGAACAAATATGGAATAGGACCACATCCTAAAAACTAATTGTTCATACATTAGGGCTAATTAATTAGTGTGAACTCAAAATTCATTCATTACCTACAGTTTATATATGTCCCTGGTCCACTTTAGAGACAGCATTATCATCTTATTGAGGAATATTATAAATAATCCCCATGGGGCATATAATATTCTAATAACAGTATTAATTTAACCAATGGTATAGAATTTAAAATACTGTTGAGAAAAGAAAAGTATACATGTATAGGACAGCTTTTTAGTGAAAATAAATCCTATAATAACTTTTGATGTGGATGTTACCTTTATTTGGTAGACAAGCTATCCTACAGGTTAATGCTCTGACCTGTATACTCAAACAAGGTGTTTATTTAATAATTTAATTTTGTAGTGCATATTAGGAAAGTATGTAGCTCTAGAAAAAAAATACAAAGCATACAAATATATCGATGTATTATATATGTAAGTATATAATATCAAAATCATTATCTTTTTTTTTTTCAAAATCATTATCTTATTGATGTTGCTTAGATAAAGTCAAATAGAAATTTGTTGTAAAGAGGAGATAATATAATCACTGAAAATGTGAATATAGTAAGAATAATGAAAGAAATACACAAGTGAATTAAGCATAAGAAACATCTGCAGGAATGGAGAATGGACTATTAAATACTGAGGTACTGAACATATATACAGTGTAGAAAATGGATTTAAAAGGGAATTTTACTTCATTCATAACTGCCTGCTTATGTGTCTGTGTGTGTGTCCACATACCCAGTTCATCCATCGATTTTCAAGTCTGAAGCCATTTTTATTAATATGCATATGTAAATGCATTTGTAAATAAGCCAAACCCTGACTCCCCTTCAAATCTCTAAAAGGTCCTTGCGTATTCCTTTCTAAAAGTCTTTCCTAGCCCATCTCTGTTAACTTTTTTGTCTCTGTGACCAATGTTTTTCTCAAGGTCATCAGAATACCCTCTTTTAAAATACATCTATTTAGAGTTTAACTGGGCTCTATTCCAAAAATGACTTATAAATTATTAAGATCAGCTCTACATGGGAGAGAAAATTCCCTTCAGTTATGGGATTTTGGATCATTTGTCCTCAAAAATAGAAATCCACTTCAGTCTTAAAAAGGCAAACTGACAAAGCTTTGTCCCCCCATCTCTACACACAACGGGGACCTGGGGCAGGAGTTCTTGAACTGAATCCAAGGGAAAAACCAGCTTGGCCACAAAATATTTAGAAGTATAAAAGTTAAACTAAAGATACATAAAGTGAGAGACTATACTCTTAGAAAGATCATTGTAATTTATTTCATTTAGGCTTGCATTTTATGCAGATCATAGTTTGAGATTAGAGTGTGGGGGGAAAATACCATCTAAAGTTGTAGATTTAATGAAAACCAAAATAAAAGGAATAAAATTAGCCAGAAGTTACCCAGAATTCAGTTTTGTTAATATATAGAAGGCTTCCCTGAAAAAAAAAAAAACAAGAAGGCTTCCCTGGATTAAGTCGGGATAAAGGAGAATATCTCACACATAACAAATGGATCCCTTGAATGTCCAGAAGAGATCATAATTTGAAAAGAAAGATAATATTCATGGGAAAGGCAGACCAGAGAAAAGAGGTATTTATGCTTTACTTCTAACATTATAGAAAAAGCACTACTATTCAGAAGCCTAATGTAAATTATAATACTCAATGCCAGTTTTCTAAACATAAGTATAATACAATAATAAGATCCAAACTATCTAGGACTTTCTGGTTTTGAAAGATCTTTCAAATTATACTTTCTTACTCAATCCTCACAACTCCATATAAAAAGATGGCCAGAATAGGCCTGGTGGGGATGGTGGGGATATCCCTATTGCATAGATTAGGAAAATAACGTTTAAGAAATTAAATAGCATAGCTACTAAATGACAGGGTGGCAATTCAAGGCCCGATTTCTTTACTACAGTGTTCATCAAATCTATCTTAGAAAAGGACAATTTATCCATGTAGCTTGCTGAAAATGCCCCTATCCTATCCAGCATCAATAGTTTACTTCTATATTCAGCAAGGAACTTTCTTGTCAAAAAAAAAAAGTGTATTTGATGCTCTTGAAAAATGACCAATACCACTTATTTTTCTCCTTTTCACACTGTTTAGTACAAAAATTTAGAATAGGTATTCCGATTTATAAATGGGTATTTGGTGAATTTGCTTAGTTTCTTGGTTCCTGACCATCGAGTTAATTGCTTCACCTTAGCAATCAACCTTCAAGTCATAGTTAACTTTCTCACATTGGGTCATCATCTTAATTTCAGTAAATAGTTTGGCACCTCACAGCATTTGGACCATTAGGAAAATTAGCAGTTTAAAGGCATTGGCTTTATTTAGAGAATGGGAAACAGAGACTCTCTTGGATATGATGCATACAATTACCTTCTCTGAATTTTTTGTCTTGATATGAATAGATATTCTCTTCACCCACCCCTAGCCATGGCATCAATAAAATACAAGAAGGCTTCAAAAAGTTTAAGGAAAAAGTAAATTTAAAATAATAGATTTTCCCACAGATTTTGAAGCCCCCTCATATTACTTGGGACTGAGAGCGTTTATTAGAAAGCTGATGGATCACAGTTATCGCTTCAAGCCTCTCTCTTGGTGGAACATAACTAGTAGGTAAGCTGTTTGGGGAAACGCTGATTGCTATTTCTGACACAGGTTCAGTCACCAGTGGACTCTGCCACAATGTCCCCCGTAGAGAGGACAGCAGCCTGGGTTCTGAACAATGGGCAATATGAAGAGGATGTAGAAGAAGCTGAGCAAAACCAAGATGAAGCCAAGCATGCGGAGAAGGTAGAAATAGTCTTTGTTTACGTTGTGACTCTCACAAATAATCGGCTACTAATAGAGCTTATCTAACAGAGTAGAAACTTCCCCACTCCCTTCAAGCACACCTGTTATGTTAGTCATCAGATGCTGTCTGCATATAAAGGGGCAGCGTGTCTGTGTGTGAGACTGTTGGAAATGTCCCTCATGCGGGCCATTATAGCTATGACTTCCTCCTGTTCTTTAAATGTAGATTGCTTTCCTTTTGAGAATATGCTATTTATTTCTAGTCACTTTGGATGAGTTGTTAGTGTTTTCATATATTGACTGTAACCAAGGACTGCTAGACATCCTCTGTTACCTTGTTAACAAGCGTTTTCCTTTTATTTATTTTCTCTTTTTTTCTCCCCCCTTTTCAGATGAAAAACTTACAGCGTTTTAGACAAAACATATTAAGTATCTAATTTTTGCATTTTGTTTTATTTTTTAAAGAAAAGTTGACATGGAAAAAGGATCATCAAACAAGAACAATACATATGACATTGTTTCATTTAATTGACAGCCAGACAACTACCTTCTGCTTGCTTATGCATGTGATCCTGAACTACGTTTATTGATGCAGTCTGCCTCTTAAAGCTGTTATCAGAGCTGTCATCTTTGACATTCTGGATTAACAAGTGTATTTTAGGAACCTGTTGTGGGGTAAGCAGAAGCTAGTTGTCTGGTTGTCAATTAAATGAGGTAATTTTTTTTTTTAAACATTTTATTAGGGGCTCATACAACTGTTATCCCAATCCATACACACATCAATTGTGTAAAGTGCATTTGTA